AAAACTATCATCCTTCTATATCATCCGCATTTTCCTTTTCTTTCTCTCAATTCAGGTGATAGTTCCAAATTTTCAAGAACAGTATTACAAAAGAGTTGAAATAATGACTCACCAGTAAATATTGCCTTTGTTGTCATTTTGATGCTGTTTAGCTAATTGTATACGTCACTGTTTTTGTTGTGGTATTAGCACAGGAATACTTACTAGAGAAGGGTTCCCAGCTGCGAATCATTTTTCCGACGAGACTAAGTCGACTATACTGGTCGTTCAATTTATTTTGAAACGACTTGCATGCAGTTTTTCTTTACAAGTCGTTTCAGAAAAATATTCCTTACTATACCAAACGATACACAATTTAATTGTCTGCAAAATTATATATTCATTTTTAACATTCATTTCTGATGTTTGGCACAATTAGTCTAACAGAAAAAGCTCCAAAATGTTTTAACTGCATCACACAGTTTTAAAGTGCAAACTGCTCTCTTTTTTTAATTGCTTGTAATGACTACAAAAGGTTCGGAAATAATTTTATTACAGTCTAATGGTGAAGGATTTTATACTTTACAAAAGCGTTTACTTGCAGGAAATCTATTAGGCTATGTGACTTAGAAATAAATATACTACTGTTTTTACCAGAAAAACTAGAGAATACTAGTTGTCGCTAAGGCGACCGAAAAATAGGAGAAAGTGACCTTTCTTAAAGTCTCATTTTCGCCCTGGTTTCATCTAAAAGGATCATTGTCTGTCATTAAAAAGAAATATCATATTGTAGAAAATTTTTTGTTAAATGTTACAGTATACCTTCTTTTGTTGAATAAGTGATTTTTAGCGAGGTTTTGCGCAAAAAATCGTTTTCTTGAAGATGAACTTAAGAAGTTTGCAGGTTTTCCTGTTAGACTTATTTTGTCAAACATCAAAGATGAATCTTAAAAATGAATATACAAGCTTGTGGAGAATTAAAATGTTTATCGTTTGGTATAGTTAGGAATTCTTTTTCTGAAACGATTTGTAAAGAAAAACTGCATGCAAATGGTTTCAAAATAAATTTAACGATCTTGATGTGATTCCAAATATCAACATCAGAGTTACCCTTAGGCTTTTGTTGACCGATTTTCTGGAAACTAGTTCTCCGGAAAACCAGGGATCAAATCCAGAAAAGTTTTCTGAATCAGCCGTTTTGTAGAGAACAGAAAACTGTTGATGTTTAGTTCTATAAGTATTAGTTTCTTAAAATACCATTGAACAGTGCTACGATTTTTGCAACGTATCCAACTACAACATTTTTCCAACAAAACCAGCGTAGCTACTGCTTTAGGAAATTTTTCTATGCTTTGGTTTTTGTTTTGAAAAACTAATACATATGGAGCGAAACATAGATAGTTTTCTGTCTCTACAAAATGTTTGAGCCAGAAAACGTTTCTGGATTCGATCCCTGGTTTTCCGAAGATATAGTTTTCAGAAGATCGGTCAACAAAAGTTAAAGGACATCTCCGATGTTGATATTTGGAATCGGCGTCATCAGTTACATATAGTCCATTTAGTTTCATCGAAAAAATAACTTGCAGTTGTAGGCCCTTCTCTCTTAAGTATTCCTGTGTAAGTATGCAGTTTCACTTAAAAACCAGTTAACTGTAACTGCTAAACTGTAGAACTGTAAAACTGTAAAACTTTAAAATTGCTATATTTAAAAGCTGCCATAGTTAAAACTGGTACGTTGAAAATCGAAACTGACCATAACTGTTGAAAAAAATTTTTTGCGACGAGAGATAGAATATCGAAAAAGAAAATTCATGCATTTTTGCTCAGGAAGTTGTGTCATGTTCTTTTATGGGTCCTCTGAGTAAAGTCTAGTGTTCATTCAGTCACATTATGACTCCTTGAAAAAGTAGTTCCATTAAACTCAATTTTTACCCCAGATACTTGATACTCTATCAGATTCTAAATTTCTTTTAAGCGTTCTCAAGTTGAACTTTCGATCTGAAAAGGTTTTTGAAATTAAAGACGGACTTTTGTAAACTTTTCACAAAGGATTTTTAGCATATTTTTTGAAAACCACCCTCAATATACAAGTAACGTAATACGTAAACATCAGCAATATACGTTATGACCAAACAAAATAATCGAAGAGTCAACAACCTTTCATTCGTCTCTTAGCTAAATTTATTTAAAAAGTCTGAATACATACAGGAAGAGAGAGAAATGAAGTGTGAAACTAAGAAATTTCATGGCGAAACACGACTAGAAGTATAGATGTTTAACATGGTTTTGGATTGAAATCGATTCGTTTGGGATACGGATATAGATCAGAATACTGTCCATAAATGCCAAAATTGTATTCGGATTCAGCCTAAAGCCATTTATTAAGTAGAAAAAGCAAATGAAAGATGTGAGAGGAGAAAAAAGTATTTTACCGAGAAAACATGTGCAAACCATCCAATCTTCTTTTGCTTAAAATACGCGCAATTATTCGTCCATAGATTCCAATATGTAGTAAATCCGGCTGGACTCACACCAGTCCACACATCTTTGCCTTCGTTTTGACAAATCCCTCCTCGATTTCGGCCGTATTTATCGAAACCCCAGGGATTCTGCGTGATCATCACTTGTTTACCTGGTATCATTTTTTGGAATTGATCGATATCATTGGTTATATCCCACCAGACGTCACCAGGCATTTTACATGTACCATAATATGGCATTACTGATTAGAAAAGCAGAAAATCAGAGACAACAGAGGCAATATTTACTGGTGAGTCATTATTTCAACTCTTTTGTAATACTGTTCTTGAAAATTTGGAACTATCACCTGAATTGAGAGAAAGAAAAGGAAAATGCGGATGATATAGAAGGATGATAGTTTT